CGTTATTCACGTAGCTGAAGTTGCGTACCTTAGTTCGATTTGGGGGTTTAGTGTAGAACCAAGCCTAAGTGTAGCATCTTACATTTGTCTTTGTTTAATTTTATTTTGTTGTCTATAGCCCAGTTCTCCAATTTATCAAGATCCCTTTGAATTTGAGTTATATCCTTCAAAAGTGTTTGCAACCCCCCCTAGCTTTGTGTTATCTGCACATTTGATCAGTATTTCAATATCCAGGTAATTAATAAAGATGTTAAATTAACTGGGTCCAGAAAAACAGATCCCTGTGGAGCCCCACTTGAGACCTCCTTCCAATCTGACATTAATAGTTACTCTTTATTTGCTGTTGTTTAACCAGTTATGTATCCACTTATGTATCTGCCAAGCCCACATTTCTCCAGTTTAAAGTCTTATAGAAGAATATGCAGCAATAATTGTGTCATGGTTTGTGTCACGACAAAACTTATGCACACTTTGCCTCAATTATATCGGTAATGTGGCTAATATGTGATGCCTTATGTGCATTTATGTAAATATTTCTTTTTAAAGGTCTGTGGGGTACAAGATTGATGGAAGAAAACACTAGCAGAGAGAGATACCTGAAAAGTGTTTTACGAGAACTGATCACATATGTGATTTTCCTTGTGGTCTTGTGTGTCTGTAAGTACCATTTTCCATTAATTTTCAAATTTCTATACTAATTGTCTGTTCTGTGTGACCCAAGAGTGAACAGTGAGGGTTTTTACCCCAGGATTGTAGGAGTGTTGTCTAGTGATTAGGCCACGAGGCTGGTATTTAGGATACTTGGATTCTGTTTCTAATTCTGCCATTGGCTTCTTGTGTGAGCTTGGAAAAAATAATTTCAAACCATTTGCCTCAATTTTCCCACCTTCAAAAGAGAATAATAATACCTTCCTTTTAAAAAGTGAGAACTTTGGTAATAGTTATGATTCCTGTGTGTGCCTCTGTTTTGTATTGCTACATGGAATGAAAGGGTTAAAAAGCTTCTCTTGAGACAGAACAGGAGACATGGGGTGTTAGGTCATGTAACTGGGCTGTCATGAATGCATCCTTAAAGGACTGGCTGAAACTGACCCATATCAATGGAGGATCCAGAAAGACAATGGGAACCTCAAGGACTGAACAGTTGCCACCTATCTACAGGAAACTCTATTGGGCAGAACATGTGAACTCAGCCTGCGTCTGCAGGAGGAAGACAATGGACCAAAAGATGACAGGAGGTTAGGGTAGGAGCAGGCCTTTGGGAGAGAAAGACCAGCTCTCTGGGATTGAGACAGGGATAGAAGCAGACAATAGCATGGTTCACAGGAACCCTGGTTTGGCCAGTATGGATTATGTCTTAACCATTGCCTCTCTGTGCTAACAAAGGATTTTCCACTGGTGAATTTCAGTTGACTGATAAACCCTACTCTGGTGTCCCTGAAAATACTTGCTGAGGAGTATTGATCCCTGAAGAGGGCAAAAAGTCTGTGAAGAGGGGTCTCATGGTGTGAAATAGGAGTTCTGGAGCTCAGGGCAGGTCTACACTACATAATTACTTTGGTATAACTACATCACTCAGGGGTCTGAAAAATCCACACCCCTGAGTGATGTCGTTATACCAACCTAAGTGCCAGTGTCGCGGGAGAGCTTCCTCCACCGACATAGCTACCACGTCTTGTAGAGGTGGATTAACTGTGCTGATGGGTGAACGCTCTACTCCTTCCTACAGGGTCTTCATTAAAGTGCTACAGCGGCGCAGCTGCATCAGTACAGCTGTGCCCATGCAGTGTTTTAAGTGTTAACCTTCCCTCAGTCCTAAAGGCATTGAGGCCATGTGGCCTACCCTTGTGGAAGAATTGGGGCCCCTTTCAGGTTCTGGCATGCTGAGAGGGTTCCTCCAAGGGACTGTTTAAAAGATGGTGCATTGCACAAATCCTCTGTATCTGACGCCATCGAATAGTGAAAGGCATGAGCTATTGATCACAGTCAAAAATTAAAATTTAGAAAGTGTCTGAAAAGGTCTGATTTTTATCAATTAAGACAACGACAGATATCCTTAAGCGTAAAAGTTCCTGTAGTGGTTGAAAGACTGGCGGTGGTAGCCTCTTTAACATTTTTTGACTCTCTCTCCATGTGCACATAATATTGAGTGTCCTAAACAGGCTTGCAGCCTCATGCATGCTAATACACCGACTTAAATCTTGGGTAAAGTATGTGGTACTAAACATTGGCACAAGATAGTGAGTAGATGCTCAGATATCAGTCTTATTTATAGGGAAGTTTACCTTTACTTTTACATAAAAGTAAAGGTAAAGAAATCCAAAGAGGCAGATATTGGAATTTCTAATACACGATGGACAAGGTGGGTGAGGTAATATCTTTTATTGAGCCAACTTCTGTTGGTGAGAGAGACAAGCTTTTGAGCTTACAAAAAGCTGCTCTTCAGGTCCTCTTCAGCTCTGTGTAAACTTGAAAACTTCTCTCACCAACAGAAGTTGTTGCAGTAAATGATGTTACCTCACCCACATTGTCTCTCTTGTCTGGAACCAACATGGTGTCACAGTTACCACAGGTCCGGTGCTTTCGCACGGCTCTGTATCAGTACCAGGGAGGGCCCCTTTAGAGTGTTAACCCCCCCCTTTGGGTTACACTCTCACTGGGGTAAGCCCCTTGGCTTCAGTGCCTCCTAGGACCGCACTTCTGAGCGTTCAGCATGCCTGCCTCACTCTGAGAGCTCCCCTCAGTGGATCCACTTGAACTGGACCCTGGGGCCGACTTGCACAACCAAAGGGAGAAATGCAATCCCGACCTCTTTAGTCTAGAGTGACGCTCAGACAGCACTGTAAAACGGAAGGATTTGTTAAATTTCTGGAATACCGCATAAGCAGGTCTTCAGTTAGCATAGAGAGTGGAAAAGTTGCAGCCAAGTCCAACTGAGTCTGACTAGAGCCCAGGGCCCTCTTCCAGCCCCCAGTCCACAAGTGCCCCTACTTCCAGCAGACCACACTTAAATAACCCAACCTGCTCTTCTTCAATCCTTTGTTCCTCTTACCAGGCAGACATCGTCACCTGACCATCCACCTTAGCTCTTTGTTTTCCAGCTGGTCCGAACTGGCTGGCTTCCTGCAAGGGGGGGGCAGCAGTCCAGGTTCATTATTTGCTAGACACCCAGATGTCCACGCACTGTCTTCTGGGTTTTTGGAGGGGGGGGGAGAGGGGCAGGCAGCTAGGCGACAGTGACGCTGGGATCTCTGCAAATAGTAATCACCCTTTCCCCACCACCTGGTTAAACATGCAGCATCCAAAGTGCTATGAGAAATTCCCTCTTCATCACACATGGCTATAACAACACTACACATAATATATCACACCCACACAGAGAGAATCTTAGTTCATTTTAGTGGTTATCCCTTGGGGGGAAGATTAATGAGTACTTTTTGTGTGTGCAATGTAGGATATTTTAGAACCCTAGAACCATATTCAGAATACATACTGGGAGGTCTTCTACATTAGAGTTTGTGCTGTTAGCATATTGTGCTTTTACAATGGAAGCATCAGAAGTAAAAACATTCCTTTATCTAAACACTGAAAATGTTAAAGATTTTTTTTTTAACTTTTAACAGAAGTATTTTAGGTTTTTATTAATACACCATGATCTAGTTTGTAGAATAAACTCAAGTACAGATTCCTCTTAGTTATTGAGGCAAAATAACTTTTTAAAGGATTTTAGGCAGCTGACCAAGGTTGTAGGAAATAATATAAGTATGGTATTACATAGTGCTTGGAATTATTAGAGGTTCTGAATATAATTTTTTTTAAATAAAATCTCTCCAAAAATAATCTTTTTAGAGTTTCATTTCTAATACTGTTACACACAAAGTAGCTCATTCAAATATAGCATGTGCAATGGCTAAAACAGATACTTGGTTTTTTATATGGTTTAGTGGTTCAAACATAATGCAGGGAAACGGGGGGGGGGGGGGTCCCTTGTTCTGCTCCAGACTTCAGCCTTGCAAAACAATCATGAAAATTTGCCAGTCTAAACATAAAATCTATTCACCGACTTTCCTCGTGGCGGTGATAAAACAAATCTTTTACTTGCCTAGCAAAACAATTACTTGCTGCCGGTTAATATAATTCCGGAAAGCTGGCATATTTTTTATGCTCTTTATTTTTAGCACTGGCAATAAATCCACAATTAAATATTTTCAGTGCCTCAAATAAAATGCCAATGAAAATTTTAAACTAAAATATAAAGTTGTAGCTTTGAGACCAAGTATGACTTCTTTATCTACTCTGGTATTTTCCTTACATTTTTAGTACCAGTAGTACCATACCATTAGCATGTCAGGTGAAGTAGTGTAAACGTGGTACCAGCATTTGTATCACTGTGTCATCTAACCCTACTCAGAACTAGTCTAGATGATACAGTGGTAAAAACCCCAATGGACTTTCAATACTAGCACCAATGGAAATGCAACAGTGAGAGATTTAATAAAATAAAAAAAAGAAGAAAAAAAAAGAGAAGCCAGGGAATACAAGGCCTTGATGTAGATCTACAGTTTATTTCCCTGTAGAATTTTAGCACTGCTAGAAGATATAAATGTTAACAGATCCATCAGCTGAATAACTTGATGCAAACTCGCATAAAATGTTTTTGCCTGCAGACCATTTAACTACAAATGTTTCATGCACAATTTTCCTTTCAAATTGTTTGTTTAATGGAGGAGAGGGGAACTACAGTATTTTGAAAATTAGTATAGCCCTTTGTTTCAGTTAAAAAGGCATTTTAAACGTATTTGTCTCTCTCTTCTCTCCCCCCCCCCCCCAACGCAGTTTGCTCTTGAGTTTTCACAGTTCATTCAGTATGTCCTGCGGTTATTGTTTGGCATAATTTGGATGGTCATTTTTCAGTACAAGAAAAGAGAGAGAATTTCATATGTACTAGTATTTTTAAATTAATAAATTGACTGAAGGTCAGTGTCCTGCATCCACTCACCGTACGACATAGAAGAAAAGCTTGAAGAAATAGTTCTTGTTCTTTATTTAAAGAAAATAAATAGTCTTATTTATAGGGGAGTTTAACTTTTCTTAACTCTGTTTATACTATATAGTAGTCAAAGGACTCTGTCACCACAACAAGGTTAAAAATTGGTATAAAGCCTGGACCTAATTCCATCCCTCAAAATGGGCTGTGGTATTCGACTTTCCAGGGTTTTAACAGTGTCCCTGTAACCGGGTTAGGTACTGTCCACCCATTAACTTTAACTATGCTATAACTGGATCTCGCAATGGGCTTATGTTTATAGTTGTAGTGTTGATGCAGTCTTTAAGTTGGGGGCCTAATTCTCT